ACATGGTGATTGGCTGGTACAAGCTTTTCCCCACCTCTTCTATGGTGGACCCCACGATGACGCCGCTGATCCGCCACTCCTCACAGCTCTCTCTGGAGAGCACCGTCGGGCCGTGCTGTGAACGCTCATAAGACTAACAACTCCACTAGATTTATTTTTCTCTGGAAGGGCTCTCACAGACCCCCCCGATCCTAAGAGTGCTGGTTGTGCATGACTGCGGCACCTGAAACCTCTGGAATGCTCTAGAATTTCTTCGGAACAAATGACCTTTCTGCAATATTCCAGAATTGACCAGAGAGGAAATGCTCTTTTTCAGCCTCTGAGAAAAAGGCAAAGGATGCAGACCAGACGTCTGGGCTTTATTTTAGCTTTCAACACATTAGCTTGTGATGGTCTGTATGAGGAAACATCCTCAATTTAGAGCTGATTTCCAGAAAGCAGGTAAATGTTTGTGCAGTCGTCACAGTGGGTGCTGCAACGGATTGGATGAAACAGATGGGTTCGTGCAATATGACATACAATAGAGAGAAGAATGTATCAGTAATAAAAGTGCGGGTTTGCATTCATTTTCTTGTGTAATTAACAATACAAGAATAGATATATGTCTTAAAAAGATTCAATGTGTGTAGTTTGAAAAGAGTCGATGTTTGTAGTTCATGATTTCGTTTGCACACGGATCTTTTTCTGTTTGTGTCTCTTCCGTTTCGTCTTTCTCATTACTGAACAGTGCCAATGCTGCCAGCGAGTGGCTTTATTTGTGGTTAGTGTCTATATTCAGTGACTACAGGCGTTATGAATCAGTAGTCTAAGCAGACACATATTTAAAAAGACTAATTTTCCACAATCTTTTCCCGAATGGTGACATATTCCAGAGTACTTTTTTCCCCCACTAATATTATATGGGAAAATTAAAATGGATGCAAGATGCTGAAGTAACATAGTGATTATGAAATAAATGTGAGTAAATGATATACTTGGAGTTATAACTACAGTAGTGGTCGACAGATGTGAGGTTTTTAATGGCTGAAACCAATATCTAGAGAGCAGAGTGGCATAAACAGACATGATATATATACATATATAATACAATTTTATGATGACATGTACATGAAATGAATGAATTTAAATGAACACATTTTCAGAAAAATATTGAAAAAGGAAAATTTGTTCTATTCATAAGGCTGTGGTTTTTAAAACGAACAGTAGGCAGAATGACCACTTCTGTAAAAAAATAAATAAAAATCAAATATTGGTCAAATTAATCGCCATGGCCGATATTGAAGAGTCTATTACTAATTATTAAAAGATCATTTAGTTTTGCACTTTATAATCTTAAATGTCTTTCTTGTAAGCAACCGCAAGTTTGGCATAAGCCAAAGTACACTTTCTTCTTTACATTATGATATTATTTGTGACTTCGGGATGCAGAAACTTTAGTAGCAATGATAAGGTTGTAGCATTAGATAGTAGCATACGCATGAAAGGCATCTTAGTTTGCCACCATCTAATGAGATTTTGCATGGAATTGATTGATACCGGATTATAGAGCGTTTTCGCTGGCAGTTGAGCAAACATGTAGCAGTGGACGATCAAACGAAAATACTGTTACATCGCACTGAGATGTACTGTGTGCCGTCCTGATGCAAGATCAGCGTCAGGGATTAATACATACTGATACAAATGTTTTCATACATCCTGAAATGATGAAAAGCAAAACATTTCTATACTCTAGCACAGAAAGGGAAGAAAACGGCATTCTGCATAGCCAAGAATTTTTACGTCCAGCATAAAATTTATGACTATTTGCGAAGAAAATACACTATTTACCACTAGACAAAAATATTTTTTTAAAAGATGTATTCCTCTCTGAGAAGTACCTCAAATACCCTCAACATAATCATGCTATAAAGGCCATATAAAGCACTGCCACATTCTTTTTGAAGACTTTAACGTTTATTGTCTTAAAAAGCAATAACTAAATGATTTTTTTGCTCACTTTATTTGTTACAGGGATTAAAGCCAGATTGTCTCTGCATTACATTCTGCATCCATGTAGCAATATATACTTGGTTTTAGACGAAGCGCTGAATGCCTGAGATCCTCAAGAATTTAGTGCCATTTCAAACATGTGTTGATGGGCTAAAAGAAATTCATGATTTGGAAAAACCTTTTCGAGCAATGTAGTGATTAGCATTGTATATTAATATAGACGATATTAGTATTAATAGAATGTAATAATATATTATTCATACTTTTTTAATTTTTTTTATTTTAATACAATAATATTACAATTATATAATATTGTCATAATATAATTAAATTACCAATATTAATATTACTACCAATAAAAAATTTGGCCCTAACACAAACATATGTAAAAATAACAGAAAAAATATTAAAGCCAAAATCAAACCTTTTATCTTCAAACTATCAAATAATTGATGGATAATTATACAAATAATAATAATAAAAAAGTGAGACATCCTCTCATTAGGACAATGTTGTATCTTCTGTAACACAAAAGTGGTTTTATTACATCCTTTACTGACAGGAAAATAATTCCACATCAAATAATTACATTTGTTGTTTTATTTACAACAAATCCTTCTGTAAGAAGACTATCATGCTTTCATTTTGAAAGAGGTTATTAAAAAGAGCCACAAACATTGAACAATAAAACAACAGCAAATGTCTGAAAGTAGACGCAAATTAACAAAATGTTCAGATGGGAAATAATGATCGCACCAAAGCAAAAAAAAAAAAAAAAAACATACCCTACTCCTATATTCTCACAAGACCAACATGAGATGAAACATGAGATGATTTCCAAAACATGTCTAGACATCAAAGCTGGTGTGCAAAGCCTTCAGACGATGCCTGATGTTTGATGTATGAGGAGACAAACACGAGATCCGTATATTCCCTTCTGTAAACTGTGAGCGAGGAGTCACCCTTTCACCATCTCAAATATGAAGCAGCTCACTACTAAAACAAAAATCCGCTTTCAGAACACGTCATGCACCAGAATGGACACAGAAGAGAACATGTTCATCTCAGAAAGTTCAGCAGTTTTCTGGAATGTTCTCAAGGTTCTAACATTTCATCCTGCTAGAAAAAATTATAAATAGAGGGCTAATTTGAAACTAGATATCTAGAACCTAACGGGTCATATGATGTTGCTAAAAAGAAAATTATTTTGTGTATTTGGTGTAATGAAATGTGTTTATGCAGTTTAAGGTTATTGAAATCGCATCATATGACCCCTTTAAAGTTGTTTAACTACACTCAAGTTGAAAGTAGTTTATAACTACGCATCTGGTGCAAAAAGCATCAAAACAATAATTTTTCGAATTTGCACAAATGCGTAAAAAACAGCAATGCACCATTTTGACATGCTGCACCACTACTTGTCGGAAAAAAGTAGGTTTTTAGTGCAAAAACAACAGTATTTTGAGCTGAGATACTGTGAAAAATGAAGTTAAAGAAATAAGTTAGTTACTTTTTTACACTGCAACTTATGGTGCATTCAAGTCATGTCGGATAGATCATATTTACGAGTCGTTATTACGAGTGGGAAACTCTGAATTTTCTTTAAGCCCTGAGTTTCTGGCGTGTCAGTGAGAAAAACACATCGGATGCAATGGATGCAGCCATAGACTATAGATATGCAGCGTCTGTATTGACGGTAAATTTGTTGAAATTAAGATAATTACGTTTTTTTTTTGCCATGTACAATAAAAGTACATAAGCTACATATACAAAATATTATATTATTGTATAATTACCATATAATTAATTCCATCACCTTCATAAATTGAATAAAAACAGGAAAAAAGCAAAAACACGATGCACATTCTTTATTCATCATTTTGTAGATGTAGAGTAAAAAAAAAAATGTGAATTTTATATAGAAAAGTTAAATCGCCATCTTGTTCCGACCAAAGTGACTTGAACACACCTGACGTCGTAATTACGACTTGTCAACTCGTAAATACAAACTTCCCAGGAGGACTTGAATGCAGCATTAGCAACTTTCTAGCACATTATTCTAGTAATGTGATTATAACGTCATCATCCTGGCCCTTCCAGAGCATCTCGCCCTCAAAGTCCACCATCTTGTGTTTGCGACAGCGCAACAAAATTCCCACAACTTTATCGGAGATTTTAACGTAGCGGTCAAACAGACGGCCGAAGGTGACATAGATACATCCCTCTTTATCCCGCTGGCCCATGTCGCGTATGATAAAACACATCTCCTCCATCTCACGGTGGATGTGTTTTTGAGCCCGATCGGCACGTTGGGCAGTCTTGGATCCCTCTTTGGGCCGTCCGTATCCCGTATCGCCCTTTTGGAGTCGAATAGCCATGGCATGTTCATAGTCAAACTCTTCACTGAAAGGGTTGAGCTTCTGACCTTCAATGTGGTCTTCAGCGAACCGCTGCCACGTGCTCCTCAAGTCGTTCATGGTGGTTATTTTAATCTGAGAGGACAAGATTCATGTGTTATTCAGGACCACATAATCACATCACAAAGTGTATGTTTTAAAGAATTAGATGCAAAAAAGAAAGGTGAATAATAATAAGAATATAAGATAAGGTAATATAAGGTGAAATAAGATGAATTTGCTTGGTTCGTGGATTTTGTTGCATGTACAAAAGTCAATACAGAAATTTATAAACAAATAAATAAATAAATATTTTAGAATTAATATAAAATATTTATCTATAAATATAGTTTATACAAAGATTTTATAGTCAGAAAATAATAATAAAAATTAATAATTTCTTTTTATTATCAGCAGTTGTGCAATTATTTATTTATTTGATTTTACTGCATTCAACAAGAAAGAAATTTAGTTCATGTTATTCAACGTGGCCTAGGTGACATCATCTACAAAAGATTTCAGAGGTTATTATTATTAAATCATTAGTAGTAGTAGTAGTAGCGCCATCTTGTTCCGACCAAAGTGACTTGAACACACCTGACGTCGTAATTACGACTTGTCAACTCATAAATACAAACTTCCCAGGAGGACTTGAATGCAGCATTAGCAACTTTCTAGCACATTATTCTAGTAATGTGATTATAACGTCATCATCCTGGCCCTTCCAGAGCATCTCGCCCTCAAAGTCCACCATCTTGTGTTTGCGACAGCGCAACAAAATTCCCACAACTTTATCGGAGATTTTAACGTAGCGGTCAAACAGACGGCCGAAGGTGACATAGATACATCCCTCTTTATCCCGCTGGCCCATGTCGCGTATGATAAAACACATCTCCTCCATCTCACGGTGGATGTGTTTTTGAGCCCGATCGGCACGTTGGGCAGTCTTGGATCCCTCTTTGGGCCGTCCGTATCCCGTATCGCCCTTTTGGAGTCGAATAGCCATGGCATGTTCATAGTCAAACTCTTCACTGAAAGGGTTGAGCTTCTGGCCTTTAATGTGGTCTTCAGCGAACCGCTGCCACGTGCTCCTCAAGTCGTCCATGGTGGTTATTTTAATCTGAGAGGACAAGATTCATGTGTTATTCAGGACCACATAATCACATCACAAAGTGTATGTTTTAAAGAATTAGATGCAAAAAAGAAAGGTGAATAATAATAAGAATATAAGATAAGGTAATATAAGGTGAAATAAGATGAATTTGCTTGGTTCGTGGATTTTGTTGCATGTACAAAAGTCAATACAGAAATTTATAAACAAATAAATAAATAAATATTTTAGAATTAATATAAAATATTTATCTATAAATATAGTTTATACAAAGATTTTATAGTCAGAAAATAATAATAAAAATTAATAATTTCTTTTTATTATCAGCAGTTGTGCAATTATTTATTTATTTGATTTTACTGCATTCAACAAGAAAGAAATTTAGTTCATGTTATTCAAGGTGGCCTAGGTGACATCATCTACAAAAGATTTCAGAGGTTATTATTATTAAATCATTAGTAGTAGTAGTAGTAGTAGTATTAATAATGATAATAATAATAAAAATAAATAGTAAGAATAATAAGAATAAGAATTCACTTTAAAAGACAAAAATTTTTTCTGTAGATTAACATGCACAATAAGACTAGGAATGTCTATTAGGAAAGTAAATACTGCAAATTTGGATTTCATGTTGACTTTAAAACATCTTTTTTTTTTTTACAATAATACATTATTCAGATCTTGTTTAAGGTGTAGACAACCTGGCTTGTCACCAGACAGTCAAATTACACTACTGTCTGTCTGACATGCCTGAGCGTTACTGTTAAATATTTCTCAGGATGTCTTCAAGGGGCACTAATTTCACATGGGCGCCATCTGAACCCGTGCAAATGCGTCCTGTGAAACGCAAGCTGGTGATATACAAATACCACGGTGTCACAGCTGTGATGGATCTCACTCATCAAGTTGAGGGTGAGCATGCTGCTTTTTGAAGGTCAGATGAAAATGATCCATCACTGTTTTTATTTACATATATTCCATTGCGGCAGAACATGCCTGAGTCTATGATGGAACATTATGTGGCCGTGATGATACAGTTGGACTTTGACTTGATCTAAGGCTCTAAAGCCCAGCTTGCCATTATTATTTATAGGGAAAAAATCTATAAATTGAAATAATTGAAAGATTTTTTAATTTTTTATTAAAGCCTTGAATGAATAGTCAGTTCAGTTGCAGTTAGCGGTAATTCTCATCTTTTCAACCAAGAAACTCTGATATTCAACTATTTAAAGAGTCATTCAAAAACATCAAAAGATTCACTATCAAAACACTTTTACTATAGATTTTGTGAGTATTTTCAGAGACAACCACATTTAAATTAATCTTGCCTCCATCCAATCAACAACTGATGACTAGAACCAAATCCCCGCCCTATTTTTATTTTTTCTACGTATTATTTTATAATCCCTTGTACGTCACAATATGGAAGAAAAGATGTGTGACTTTAATGTAAATGTGGCTTTCACTACCTGAACTTTTCAAGAGTGAATTTAGTTTTCACTCCCATAACAACTGAATTCAATGTGAACAGACTGAGATTCTCTCATAAAAGGAGCGACAACCGAATTACATTCAAGATAACAAAACAAATGACAGTGCCTATTTACACTGGTGTAAAAAAGGTACTGTATTTTCCGGAATATGTCGCAGATTTTTTGTCATCTGAAATGTGCTATGAATTATATTCCAAAGCAATTTATATAATGCATTTAAAGTAAAACATGCGCAAGTTAATTTTTATAGCGTATTTGCCATACACCGGTAGTATCAGTTTTGCTTTAATTTTGTTTCGGCTTGCCATTTATAATAAATGTTTTTTTATTATATGCCACTATAATTTATGTTTGTTTTAAACTTATATTTTCATTTTTGTTCTGTTCTGAATAACAATACATTAAATGATTTGTTGTGGAGAACTAAAATACATGTTGTTCACACTAAGTGCTAATAGTCTTAGATGCTATTCACACAAAGTGTGAACAGAAGTAATACGTTATTTAAACTAAAGCTATAATATCTAAGCAATTGTGGGCGGAGTTAGTGAAAATAGCTTTTGCTAATAAGCTTGGCTATGTGCACTCAGAACAAATAAAAACTGCCAGAACATAGCTTGAATTGAACAGATAAACACACCTTTTGTCTGTTGACATGTTTCTTTGGTTCACTCTCATTCTGATCGCTGTTGTCGCTCAGAGATGCTTCCTCCCCAAGACCACTGTCCTCAGCATCTGAACCGCTACTTCGGGATCCCAGCGCCTTCATCAAAGTTCCTGCTTTCCCGCCACAGTAGCGTCTCCTGGTGGGAGATTCGTTGCCAAGAAAGTTTTTGGTGTCCTCTGATGTTAGCTGATTGGTGTTGATCTTCTCCTTGATGATGTTCACTAAGTCTTTTCCGTATTCGTTACATTTTGGCGTGATGGCTTTAGTCACGGTCACCGTCTTGATCTGGTCGTCCGCATCATCTTCGCTATTCACTGAAACCACACGAGGAGTAACCAAGAGTTTCATCTCACTCTTCTCCTTCTGCTTTTCTTTCGTGTCCTCAATGATGGTGTCGGGCATCCATCCGCTCGGGATCATGTCTTGCTTGTCGGTGTGTTTGTTCGCCCAGCTTTGCCAGCTTTTGGCGAGGCTGTTCACCGTCGAAGCCACCTTGATCTTTCTGACGGCTCTGCTAAAAGGCCGGCTTTGCTGGACGGCAGCTGTACTCATGGCTCTTATTGTGTTTTCCTGGTTGGTGAGGTTCAAATCTCAAGGTTTGTGATCTGTTTGGATGCTGCTGGTGGTCACCAGGGTCTTTTATATGAATGGAAAGAGGAAGTGTCCTCTGAGGTGGGTGGTGTTATATTCCTCTGGATGCACATGGTGTCCACTGTGACCCCAAACATGCTAATGGAATTTTCCCAGTGGAATAACAGGTGGCCATGTTATGACCAACCAAAAACACTTCTGTCTAACCGTGCAACCATGCAAAAAACTTTTCTGACATCACACCTGACTGCGTCTCTTGTTTTAGATGCACCCATGATCTCACCAAACCCTAAAACCGCTCAAGGATGCCTATAGATCCTGATGAAACGACTACAAATGCATGCGCTTCTCCACTGCCATGGCATATTTTTGTACAACGTGCCAGAACTCAGTGTGGTGATCTATTTTTGCAGACTGGGTGTTGAATTGTGCATGTGCGCGCTTCTGTTGATTGATACACAGGCCTGTTCTCAAAGCGCAAGCCAAGCTATTTTAAGCAGGAGTCGTGCTGAAGTAAAACTTAGGATGAGCCTTGGATTTGCACATCCCTTCTGTTTCATTTATACAACTTTGCTGATAAAATGGTGATTAGGATTATTAGAGTATTAATCTTCTAGACATTTTCATAAGGCTAACCATTAAGCAATAGGTTACTGCAGAGATAATGCGTAAAGCAACTGTTGTGTGCCAACCTCAAAAAATGGGCTGCAGACCTGTTCTGATAAGGTCACGCACAGCTATGCTAAATTAAAATAATAAAATGTAACTAGCCATATAATATTTCCCATATTTTTGATGTTATTTGCAGCGCGTTCAATCAAACACTGCAATATTTTCTAGGCAGAGTGCTGCGATGTTAACATTTAAAAGATAAATAATGTTTCTAAAATCGATACTGGAGAGACATTTACAATTTTCTTATGCAGCCTTGTTCATGATAAACATTTTGCATAGTAACATTAATAGATTTTAAATGTCTGACGTTGTCTTTTGTACGATCATTTTGGTACTTTGTTTGGTCACCAGTTGTAAAATGTAATGCAAACATCTGCATTGTGATGCAAACCCAGTTAAGAACAAGTTTGCACTGCATTATACGACATTATAACGTGAAAACTGCTGAACTGATAAGGTCACACACAAAAATGCTAAATTTAAATACAGTAATAAAATGCAATTTGAGAGACATTTACAAACCAAAAGTGACAATTTTCTTATTCAGCCATAGCTATTAAAATAATTATGCATAGTAATATCAATACATTTCAATGTCTAATTTCTAATGATATCCTTATTTACTTTGGCACTTGGGTCACCATTTGTAAAAATGTAATGTAAAATCTAGGTTGTGATGCAAAACCAGTCAAGACCCAGTTTGCACTGACTTATACAACTTGCTAACGTGAATCCTGCCCTAGATAACTCAAAGTGATGCTACCTTGATTGCTCAAGAATTATCCGAAATCTGTGTGCATATAAATATATTTCCGCCTCTTAAATGTCTTTGCATGTTTTTAGCTCCCACACAAGATCCCTGAATGTCTGGGGACAAAAATAAAACAACTGTCATTTTGGATGTTGCTCTCGTCTCTTCCTGCTTCCTCTGGCTTTTGGTGACTCACATACGGAGGAGTGTACCGAGGAAAGAAACCGTCACTTATATCACCGCTAACACCACCAGCTGGATGCACTTACCAGCTCACAATGCAGCTCAACACACTCACATTAATGCTTATTAAAAGCTTCACTGACTGGCCAGTGTAGCATCTCCTAATGTATTTGTAAAAGCAAAACATTCACAACCTCAGACAATTCACATTTAACTCATTCAGAGACGTAAATGGCTTTTGTAAAAACAAAATAACAAAGGAGATATATTGATCTCTCAATAATAGCTTTAATATTGCAAACATTAATCTCAAAAATACAATTATAGGAGAACAAATCAAGACTTTTGCCTGTCTACTGTTTCAGAAGAGATTTCAACATCACATCAAATGTGTGTTCAGATTTTCCAAGTCTCACTATGAACTTATTTCTCATCAGACTCTTCCAAGGCCAAATGATCAACAACTGTTCTGAAATTTCTGCAATGTATTCGTATTAAAAATGTTTGCCTTCCACTCAAAACTCATTTGTACCTTTGCATATTTACATATTTAAATGTAATATAACTGAGAACTATATCCTAGACGTATACAACTCACCCGACACCAGATGATAAAGCTATTAGCATCGAAAAACACATTACAATAAATGTGCTTTATAATAAATGCAATGAGCCGACATTCAACTCTATTTTCCAATAATAACCTGAATGCATGTCTAATCTCACTTGGGCATTAGTGCAAAGATTGAACTGCATATAGAATCATTTCTTCTTTCACGCAGTCGTCTCATTAACAGACCATGAGTAATGGGCTAATCAACACTGTGCTAGGCTATGACGTTGCACAGTAGTCAGTCGTTTCATTGACAGCGCTACATGTCAGCACAACTAGCTTTAGCACACACAGCAGTAGTGGTTTGACAGCTTGGTTATCATTAGAAACCAGCTTGGATGAGACAATTAGTGTCCTCGTAAACAAGCCAACCCTGCATTTTAGCCTACAGCTGTATCGCTAATTGTCTCTGCTTATGCTAACCAGCAAAAACATGGTTGATTTTGTAGTATTTCATACTAAATGATGTGTAGCACCGGCTAGCTCTGCAGTAACAAAGGTCATTGATATATAGCAGGAAGTTCAGCAGCCTGACGAAGCTGGTCAGAGTCATTGCCTGGATATGGAGAGCTGCAATGAAATGGAAGATGGTATTGAAAAAGTTTAAACTTATGTTTTAAAATGTTATTTATGTCCACACATTGTGGTTAGCCCATGCTTACAAAATACCATGGTATTACCAAATTTTTTTGGTCATGGTCTCATCACAAGCCTTTCCTGTCAGGATAAAGTTATGAATGTAGGACTATATTTTCTTGTTGTGGAAACATGAATGGACTCTAATAATAGTGGGTTACCACCTAACAATGATATTAGAATGACATAAGCTGAAGTCACTTTGTATTTCTGTCTTTGTTCTATTAATAGACAACCTGACCCACAAAGTACCCTTGAACTATATATATTCACCACCATATTTTTACCATGCTTTGTCAGTAGCTTTGGTATGACATGGTTGTCATGCTATCACCACTATAGCTGCATTACATTATTTATTTTCTTACTTTTTTATTCCTTCTTTATCTTTCTCTCAGGCGCCAACTCTACTTTTTTGCATATGACACAGATGAACTGAATATATCAATGGACAAGCTACAGTAACTATTTTCACTAACAAACAAACAAAAAAAATGAATATTTTTGGTCATGGTACAATGATAAAAATGCAATGCAAAAAAATAAAATAAGTAATAATAATAATTATTATTATTATTAATGCAGTACTCCAAGGTACTTCCAATAAGTAGTATTCTTTATTTGTATGGCTAATCATTCTGTAGCATGGTATATTAAAGTATTGTGCGTTGATATATGTATTTTGTATTTTTTTCCCAAAAATACATACTGATATATGTATTGTTTTTTAATGCCATGCCAGCCTCTATGGTTACTTTCATGGCGAAAACTATACTTGAGTTACTAAAATTTAAAATAGAATTTAATTTAAATTTAAATATATTTAAGACCCATTTTTGCTAAAAATTATAAAACTAAATTTGGATTAATTAAAACCTTTTCAAGCATATCGATGGAACAAAAGTTTTTTTTTTTCGAAGTACACTAAAAATAAATAAATAAATAAATTATAATAATAAAACTCTAAATTGCTAGTAAATTTCACAATTAATTACAAAGAGACCGCAAGTAACACATTAAATTAATTAAACATGAAATTTTAAAGTAGAAAGACCTAAACAATTTTCTCGTAAAATGTACTGCATTTATGTGTTTTATTTACAACTTTAAAAATATTTTTTTAGTGTTAAATATTACATAGAGAGTACCATCTGATACTGTGATTATATAAGGCTTGGCTTTTGAATTTCAGTTATATTCTTAAAACAGAACTTCATTCTCAGAGCACTCAAGAAGTAGATGCCATTTTTACCACACGAACCACCTAATTTAGCCACCCAATGAGTCTGAATGAACAAACCAGAAATACAAAGCTTACACAAGAGTCACCAGGTACTGCGAAAGGTGTTAAAAGACACCAAGGCGTCCCTCCTCTCTCTCTCTCTCTTTCTATGTATGTTGATGAGGACTGGTGTGGTTTGTGAGTCATTTCTGTGTATGACTCAGATCAGATACTCAAACTGTCCTCAGACACTCTCAGCACACAGCCAGCACCTGCTCAAGACGCACATGCTCTAAAATAAACCCTCCCTCTCCATTTTTCTTTCTCACCTCCCC